ATTATTTCGTTCGTCATGCTGGAAATGACGACCAATAGGGGTAGGTCCCCTGGCTTGTGACCCGATCGGGGTCCGGTCACTGGGAGTATGATGCGCTGTTGGTGGAGCGCCACGACGATTATCCCGATGGGCCTGCGAGCGGGACGACACTGTGGTCATTTCTGTGCGTGGAGTTTCCCCTGTAAAATTGGATCCTCCTTCTTCCTCGTTCGCCATGTGTTGCATGACCTGGGCCATATCTCGCATGGCCTGAGGATTCCTCCTTAGAGCTTCAGGAATCACAAAGTCCCCATCAAAATGAGGATATGATCCTCGGCTTGATTGTCCCTGAGGGATTTGATTTCCCGGGGTGTGACTCCTTCCGTGACGGCGTGAACCATCGTTTGTGTGATAAGAACTGATTCTGACCATTTTCAAAAATAGTTGTTTTAGGATAATTGAATGTGAAACTTTTTGAATGTTTCCCACAGACGGCGCCAATGTTGAAGGTAAGTCCCGTAGATCCGAAAGCCCAACACGAACTTTGGATATATCAGGAATGGACCAGAATCAAAGTGTATAATAAAATATAAAATATGAACTCGCTAATACTCAAAAGCCCACTCGTATTAATTAACCTGTCTGATTACAAGGAAACTTCCCGATCGGTAGGTCGGAACAGTGCTTTAATACAAGAAACAAGGATAATAATGCTATTCTAGAGCTTGAGTATTGAAATGCTAACCCTTACAATGATTTTAAACATTCTATTTATACTAATGGAGAGCATGGGCTGCTCTGTGCTGATTGGCCGTCGTTCCACCGACTTGATCACCCATGTTTCCACTTGCTGATGTCACAATCTGGCATTAATTGCACCTGGCCACTTGCTGGTTGTCCGTTGCTCGAACAGGATGTTGGACCATGCTGAAGACGCTGCCAAATTGGTCCGAACTCCGTTCGGTATATCTTCTTTCTGGGCCGGCCTTTACTTGGACCGAACCTCGTTCAGTATTAGTTTTTCACCGGATCTACTCATCATAGAGTATGGACTCATTGTTTGGGCCGGATATCATGGGCCTGTTTGATCCGGGTATTGGGCCTCTAGATCAATATCCAAACAGGCATCATATACCCGAAGGCAATATATAGCCGAAGGCATCATATAGCCGAAGGCTATATATAGTCGAGGGCATGACATAGCCGAAGGCTAACATTTTAGCCAGAATTTCCCAGAAGCTTTGCAGGTCCATGTCAAGTTGTCTCATAGAATTTGGAGCCTTCGGCCATAGGGCCGAAGGCATCCACATGTGCACCGTGGGCTTCTTCATGCTTGGGCCGCTACGTTCGGGTTTTGTGTGCTCATCGGGCTTAATGGGCCCGTGTAGGAGAAGTAGGAGTCTATGTGCCGGGGTCCTTGGACCATGTACTCCATCAGTTTTATAATACCAATTATTACATATAATACACAAAATACAAATAAAATTTTAATTTGTAAGAACATGTATTGTTTATTTTAAAAAAATAGATTTAAAATGTCAAAATTGTTTTAATGAATTTTTTGAGATTATTTTTTATGAGTTTACTGTGTGTATAAATATATCCTTATTATATTATTTAGGGAAAAGTACGGAAAATGTACTTGTGGTTGGGCCCGTTTTCCGATAGGGTCATGTGTTTCATTATTTATCAAAGTAGTTCATGTGTTTGAATTCCGTTATCACATGAGGGTCACGCCGTCAAAAACGTCTGAAAAAGACCGTTAAAAGTAACTCCGATTTTCAAAAGTGCCCGAAAAATTAAAAGAAAATGACCGAAAGGTGCGCCTCGTCAAGATGACCTCCATACCACCTTCGCCTTTGGATTTTTCAGATATGTTTGAATTATATTTTAAAAATGATTTCGATAATATGACTTTTTCGATGGATTTTCTGGTGACAAGGCTGGCTAAAAACAAAAAGAAAGATGGCCTAGCGGTCGTCTTATTGAGGCTCATCTTCCGATATTTTTCTTTTAATTTTTCGGGCACTTTTGAAAATCGGTGTTACTTTCAACGGTCCTTGTCATACGTTTTTAACGGCGTGACCGTCTTGTGATAACGGAATTCAAACACATGAACCACTTTGATAAAAAATGAAACACATGACCCTATCTGAAGACGAGTTCAACCACAAGTCTCTTTTCCGTAATTTTCCCTATTATTTAATAGATGTATGTAATTTATACATTCAACTTGTATCTTATTTTATATTTGTATTTTCTATTTTTAAATTTCCTTTTTTTGCAATTCTTACACTTTTGTATGATTGAGGGAACAAATTGAACAACTGTGTCGAGTTTAGGGGCCTATTTGACCTCTTAAATTGCCACGTGGGATGTACAGTTGGCATCTAACCGAGTGACGTGACAGTGACCAGACTTTTACCTGCAAAATATGAGATTTGAACTTTTTATCAAGTTCAGGGGGAATCGAAGCTTTTTAGAGTTGAGAGAGCAAATTGAGTATTCCAGACGGGTCCAGGAGCCTATTTTACCCTTTAACCTTTTAAAATTGTTTCAAAGTAAATGATCTTACACGCCACTCATATTTTATCCTTTCTATTACTCCGTATTATTATTATTATTATTATTATTATTATTATTATTACTTAAATCAACAAACTTTTGATTTGAATTTTACTTATTTCTCTTAATTCCTACACCAAATTTTAAGAATAAGTTCCACACTACGCTCTAGACTAGATTTAAACAAAACTAGACCAAATCATAATTAGAATTAAATAGATCAGACCAAATCAGACTTTCATCGTTATAAATTACACAGAGACTAAGGCACTGTTTGGCACAACAAGCTGGAGCTGGAGACTAATGTCTGAATTAAAGACTATTGTCTGAACCATAGCCTATTGTCTTGAGCTGAACTTTGAAAAGCTGAATCTGAATTGCTAGCGGAATGAGGTAGACTCATTTGGAAGAAAGGCTAAAAAATGACGGAAACATATAAAATTACATTAAAGGACATACTGAGTATAATTTATCAAAAATAAAATACTTATTACGGGTATAATATTTATAAACCAAAAACAGTTAAGATGTTATACTACGGAGTATGTAAGTATTTTTATATTTTTTATAAACCAAAAACAGTTAACATATACATACACACAAATATATGCTTGTATTTACTACTGTATATAATTTTTTCTACACCACTAAAATCAAGTTGATTTCTGCCGTGCGCATATTCAAGCTCAAATAAAAACAAGTTGAATAAGAACGTAATTTTATTTTGCTCCTGATTCTTTGATTTTTTCTTTCTTCGTTGGCCCTGACAGGCTGGCAAGTTGTGTAGACGCCATTTTTAATCATCTTCTCGGCCAACTATGTCTTTTTTTGGGAATTAGGATAGATCCCTTCCTGCATCAGAGACCCGTGTCTTCTCCGTTACCGGTGCAGCACCGGCCACCGGCGCCACTGCGACATCGTCTCTTGATCCCTCTCGTTGGTCTAGATTTGAAGTTTCTCCTTTGTTTGTGATAGTCGCACACTTGCAACAAAGATGGAATATATTGTAACGAGGTTAGGGCTAATACAGGAAAGAAGGGCCCGACTGAATGGAAACGTTGCTCCTCTAAGCGTTTGAGTTCAGTTGAGTTTTTTCAGCTCAAGCTCATTTCAGCCTTTTATCCAAACAAGATTATTTGTATAAAAATTGACTGGATTTCAAACATTTCAACCCTTTTTGAGCTTATGTGGCTTGCCAAACATAGCCTAAACATATACCAGAATAGACCAGTTCAGACCAGACCTGATCTGATTTAAATAGACCAGATCAGTAAATTTAGTCCAAGTAAAAACATCCATTTATACAGTTTTAATTAATGTTATTATAATAGAAGTTGCCTTGAATACATGTAAAAATGTTTTGAATTCCAAAATAGGACCTTCATGTTTTTATTTCTAAAATCAAGTAATTTCTGCCAATTTTGGAATAAAATGTCATATTTAAAGCCTCGTAATGCCAATTTGGCAAAAATTACTTTATTTAGATAATAAAAAGATGACAGTTCTATTTTTGAAATTTCAAAAACTTTTTTTTCCGGAAATTTTCCGTTATTATAAGGGTTAATTATGAAAATAAGACTAAAAGTCACTCACTTTAAAACAAATAGGACCAAAAAATAAACTATGTTTTCATAGGACTAATTATGCGTGTCTTGGACAAATATACCCTTATAGCTATTGAAATATTTTAATTCGTAATAAAATAATAAAAAATAATAAAATTTCGTAAAAAATAATAAAAAATTAATAAAAATATTTCGATAATAATAATTTATTTATTTAATTATTTTCAAAAAATAAAATAAAATAAAAAACTCAAAAAAATAGAATAAAATTCACCGTCCCCTCTGCCGCCTCTGCACCACCACCTCCAGTCACCAGAGAAAAAAATGCCAAGTTCATTACGAATGCCATACTTATGATAGAAAACAATGAAAATGTTGGCATTCTCAAAGAGAAATATGTCATGTTTTTGGCATTTTCAGAAAAAAATGGCAGTTTTTAGGAAAACTGACATTTTTTTCACCGTCCGGAGATGGTGGTGCAGGGAGGTAGTACAGACGGCGGGAAAGGCATCCATATTTTTTTAATTTTTTTATGGAGGTTTACTATTTTTTATTAATTTTTTAAAAAATAAAAAAAATTAAAAAATTTTTTTTTTTTAATTTTTTATTTTAAAAATATTTTATAATTTTTTTAATTATTTTTCTACGAAATTTTGAATTTTTTCGAATTTATTATGAATTAAACATTTAATTAACTCATATTTAAAGGAAGGATAAGAATGGAATGAAAAAATAGGTATGTTTTCAATAGGACTAATTTGGTCCTATTTTGAAAAGAAAAGCATAGTAAGTCATATTTTGAATTTTTGTCATAGTTTTAATTCTATTTGAAGTAATTTCTATTATTATAATTATACCAGTAATTGTTACCGTACTATAATTGTGCTGGTCTGCAGACTGCAATTGGGTTGTTGGTAACCTACCCACGCACAAAACTCAAACATCTCCAGGCATTATATTTTCCGGAAGTTGGCTTTGGCCTTTTACTTTGGTGCAGCGAACAAAATCCACACAGCCCAGAGGCCTTCATAGTTTCAGCAATAGAAGGAATCGGCATTTCGTATGAAAATTCTTTCCTCCACTTTGAATTTCTTTCTTCAACTTTCCCCCAGAAAAAATCCCTAGTTCCTTACAGTGACAATCTAAAGCGTTGTTCTTTATTTGTATTATTTTTTTTCATTCCAAATTATCTCCTTAAGACCTAATCCTAATCTGTGTAGGATTCCCATTGTTTACTGCCTGAAGTTTTTGAGCATGAATTAGATTTTGCATTGCCCAGAAAGCTAGTTGAGTGTTACAGGAAAGGTAGACATTATGCACCATCACTGGGATTCTTTATGAATGAGGCTCTGAGCGGATTCACCGGATTGTATGATTTGACTGGTACAGGAAGGGTAGGGCTGAGATTAGATAGTTCGGAGAATCATGAACTTGATATTCTCTCCAGCAAGATCAGTTTATAGATATTTCAGCACTAAGGCAACCAGAAAGACCGCCCCCTATTCTGCTCCTGCTCCAACAGCCAGTATCAAGAACAAGGGTTTTGATAAGGAATCTTCTAAACCTAAGAGGACTAGGGTAAAATGGACCCAGCGACAATCACAAGTTCTGGAAGCCATTTCAGATGGGAAGTCAGTTTTTGTAACTGGGCCGGCAGGAACGGGTAAAACTGTGTTGGTCCGAACTATCATTAGAACACTCCGGAAGATTCACGGGCGATCTAGGGTTTATGCGACAGCCTCTACGGGTGTTGCAGCCTGTGCACTTAACGGGTGCACGCTTCATTCCTTTGCTGGCATTGGGTTGGGTGAAGCCCCAGCTGAAGAATTACTACGTAAGGTTAACTCCCACAAAATCACACGTCTCCGATGGAAAGAGGCTCGGGTACTGATCATTGATGAAATTAGCCTCATAAGCGGAGAGGTCTTCGATAAGCTCGAGTTCATTGCACGCAAGATACGGACTAAACCTGGTTATGGTCAGGAGAAGGTTTGGGGTGGCATTCAGCTAGTTGTGAGTGGAGATTTCCATCAATTACCCCCCATATTTAACAAGAACGCAAAAAAATTCGCCTTTGAAGCTTCTAGATGGAATATGAGCTTTGATATGCAGATTGATCTCACTGATGTTTTTAGGCAGTCGGACCCTCGCCTGATAAAAGTTTTGCAGGGGTTAAGAATGGGGACATACGATTCAGATGACTTAAAACTTTTGGAAAGCCATTGCTCAAAATCTGAGTCTGACCCTTTAGCCGTAAAGCTCTTTCCAAGAGCTGATGATGTTTATAAAATTAACAGGAAGCATTTAGAGAGCTTAAATGAAGATCTTATTGGTTATAGAGCTTTTGACAGTGGCGTATGGAAAGATTCCATAAAGACAGGAATAGCACCTGATTATATTGAACTCTGTGTTGGCGCAAGGGTGATGTTGATTAAGAACTTAGACACTAAGCATAAACTCGTAAATGGTGCCACTGGTACTGTTGTGGGTTTTGAGTTGGTTAACGGTATAGTAACAGCGCTCGGCACTAACATGTTGCCTGTAGTGAGATTTGATTTTGGACGAGAACTTATTATTGGTCCAGAAACATGGTCAATGATAGATGGAAGTGAGAAGGTTGCCACAAGGAAACAGATTCCCCTGATACTGGCATGGGCTATTAGTGTCCATAAAAGTCAAGGCATGACTATAAACAGCCTTTCTACGAATCTTGACCGGTCTTTTGGGTATGGAATGGTATATGTGGCACTTTCGCGTGTGAAGAGCTTGGAAGGTCTTCATTTGGCCAGTTTTGATGCTAGAAAGATCAAGGTGCACCCAAAAGTTTTGAACTTCTATAACAGGTTGGTTAATCAGCAGGATCAATCAAAATGATGAACTATGCCACTATGCTGGAACAATTGTGGTGGTTCACTGGTTCCTCGCTCAAATCTTATGGATTCTCTTGTAATATGTTGTGGTGATGTGAATGTAATATCTGTTATGAAGGAAACATGTGATGGTTCTTCATTTTTATGCTGGTTTAGGCTCTTAATTTCATGGCTGTCTACGGTCTATTTGTTAGCTTTTATAGGTTAAAGTCGTTTATAGTACAAACTCGGATATATGCAAAAACATGAATATTTAGATACATACTATCCTCCATATTTTAATTGTCGCAACATTTTGACTTTCACATTTGTCAGCACACAACTTTGACCGTAATTATACTTAATTACGTTTTAGTAAACATTATAAAAAGTTAATATTTTGAAAATTCACAATAATAGCAATTTAACACTCCATCCGTCCCATAAAATAAGTCTCACTTTCCTTTTTGGGCCGTTCCAAAAAATTATTCTCATTTCTCTTTTTGAAAAGTTTTGTGTGATTCACATTCATTTATCTTTTTCTTACTTAACCACAACCATACATTTCCACTTTATTCTCACTTTCTTAAACTCCGATTTCAAATTGATGTAAGACTTATTTTATGGGACGGATGTAGTAACATTTTATAAATGTTTTTACATAAATATGATTAGTAATGTTGTGTTTGTGTGTGTAAAAAAATAGACACACACATACACATTAACATGCATGAATGGTGGAGTTGTCATGTTTGATAGTATATTATACCTAATCACTTAACTTCATTATGTAATGAATATTACTACCTCCATCAAATGAAGTTCTCGTTCACTATTTACTTGGTCAACTAATCTTTGACTTTATATATATAAATATATATAGAGAGAGAGAAAGAGAGAAAGAGGGAGATCAAATAAAAGACCTATTTATATGTAAATTGAGAATTTATCTCAGCCATTCATCTCATCAATCGATTCTCTTATATTAAATTAAATTAAAGGGACTTTTTGGTAATCATACCATTTCAGTTACTTTGGCTTTCACGGTCGTGCCTCCTCTTCCGCTCATCAGGTCGTTTCTCTCCCTAATCATCTTCTCTAGTCTGAACTCCAAAGTCCAAACATGGTAAACGCCGTTTTGATCTTTCATTCTCTTGTTTCCCTCTGCACAAATACTATGAACCCTGGTATATTCTTTGTGTATTTCTTTTTGTAAATTCCTTATTATTTGTGATTTAGAAGTTTACAATTTTCGTATTATATATGTTCTTTTTTTAATTTTCAAAACCTTCAGTTAAATTATGAAATCTGACAATGTTATTGTTGCTTAAGATATGTTTGCTGTGTGCGTAAGGATATAGAATGAACTGCTCAATAATTTTAAATTATGCTTTGTGTTTGAAACTTCCGTTTGTCATTAGTGTTATGTATAGTCCTATACTTACATTAATTTTCTTGTTACTTGTATGCTTTCAGTTTGAACAATCGTGTATTTAGATTAGCATGGGCGGAGCTAGGGGTGGGCCAACCTAGGCCATGACCCACCCCAAATTTTAAAAATGGCTTAATTTTTAAGGTAGAAAATTTCGTGTAATTTTATTTCTAGAAATATTCTTTGTACCGGCCCAGTGTCCTAGCTCCGCCCCTGTAGATTAGGGAATATGTTAGAATTTAATATTTTATTGCTGGTATTTTGTTATTTTGTACACACTATGGTTTGTAACCCAGCTAAGATTGTTTTTGGTAACATCGTTTTTTAATTTGTGTCTGTTGTTAGGATTTAAAATTTTACTGCTACATTTTTATTATTGTGTACACATTATAGGTGCACTGAGAGTGAAGTATGCAGCAATTGTAATAGCGGAAAGCAATGAATGAAAAATAGAGAATCTGAAACAAGCACGAGAGTATGCAAAGGCAAAGGAAGAAAAGAAAAATAAAGGAAACAAAAATCCGAAACAAAAGTGAAATTGGAGAACGTTCGATGTTTATCTTAAATGTGTGAAAACTTGGATTTCTTGATTATGATGTTAGGTAATGGATTTTGTGATATGTTTGGATTTGTGACAAGTTAACATTTTTTATTTTAATTTTAAGGAACGCATTAAAATTGCTTAGTGGATTTATGCTATTTTGGTTTTTAAATATTGTTTTTGAAATGCATGTATTTAATGATCATACAGAGTATATAAAAAGCAATCAAAGAATTCGATGATGATTGATAACATGAAGAATTAGGACGTTTTTAGAAAAAATGGCATAGTATTACTCCACCATTTTTATTAGACAAAAATATAACCCTTTTTTACATGGACAGAAAAGTTACACATCCGTTTCTCTCTCTCTCGTCCAAACACTCTTCCGTCAAAATAGATCCCCTTCTCTCTCCGAGCATCTGCGATCCATTCTCGCATCTGCGATCCATTCTCGCATCTGCAAGTTTCGCGTCCATTCTCTCATCTGCGAGCTTCATCCTCGTCACCATCATCGCTGTAAGCAGGAGCCAATTCGCCGGAGCCTCCCAGTCACGTCGAACTCGAGAGCCTCCCTCATTGCATTGATCGCCGTAGCCTCACGCCTTGCTCCGTTGCCTGTGCCTCAGCTCGCACCGTAGCTGTCACGTATTGCAATGGACAAGGCTGTTTTGTCAATCACTGTGTCTGATGGCTACCTACGAGTTGATTGACACTTAGGGTTCGAGGGGACGACTTTGTGTTGCGGAGGCACAATTGGGGGCGCCGATGTACTGCGGAGGCTCAATTGGGAGGGGGTGCTGCAGAAACGCAATTGGTGGCGGCGTTGGGCTGAGGAGTGCTGACAGGGGATGGGAGAGTGGGTGAGTGCAGGGGCCAGGGGCAGGGGGATTGAGGTAGGGTCTGTGGTTGTGGTTGTGTGCGGCAACTACGAGGCGGGTTGTGGTGGTGGGATGTCGCAGTTGCAGGAGCTTGGGCAGGTTGTGGCGGTGGGATGAGGTTGTTGTAGGGGGTTGCGTCTGGGGCAGGGAAGGACATGGCATGGTTTTGGGGAAGCTCTGGTGGGAGCTGGATAGGGGCTGGAGGTTGGGGCTAAGGGCGACTGACTGGTGGTGGTGACTGACGGTGACGACCCTCAGCGGTCGGGTCAATGCGATGGTGGCAGGGGAATGGGGATTGGTTGGCTGTGGAGTTGGTCAATGGGCGGTGGCAGTGACTGGGGAGTCAAGCTGGGGGTGGGGGTTGGCGGCGATTGTAGCGCGGTGATGTTCAGCGGCGGTGGTCCAAGGTGATGGTCGGCGGGGGCGATAGGGCGGGGTAGGCTGGTGACGGGGCTGTGAGGAGGCGGGGAAGAATGGAGAGGCGTCGGGTCACAGTGACCGGAGTCGGCGTGTCACTGTGGCAGTGTCACCGGTGGTGGCCGTGTCACTACGGTGGCGTCACCAGTGATGGTCGTGTCACTATAGTGGTGTCACCGGTGGCGGTGTCACTGGTGTCACTGGTCGGTATGATGTTGTCATTGTAAATGTCACTGTAGAACCGCACTGTACATGTCACTGTAAATGTCTTACCGGTGTTACTGCATCGGTCACTGTAGCACCGCACTGTAGCACCGCACTGTAGCACCATTAGTTTAGTCACTTTTTTGGAAAATTAAATAAAAGGTCATGTTTTTACTTGGACTATAAATCTGCAATTCCTCCTAAACCAGACCAATTCAGACCAGATCAGACCTGGATAGTTATAAAAATACAAAGAAACCAGACTACTCCCTCCGTTCCTAAAAATTCTTCCCGGTTTGACTTGACACGCTTTTTAAGAAAGTGGAATAAAGTGGAAATGTATGGTTGTGGTTGTGTAAGAAAAAGGTAAAATGAATGTGAGCCACACAAATTGTCCAAAATGGGAAAGTGGGAAGTATTTTTGGGAACAGTCCAAAAAGGAAAGTGGGAAGTATTTTTGGGAACGGAGGGAGTATAATATAAGGTATAGACTTGGATAGCTTATAAAACAGTTTGCTGTCATCAAGCAGGAGTGAAGTTTGCAACTATAATTCAAAAGGTTGCAATGAATAGAATAATAAAAGAAAAAGGGAGGGAATCATGTGAGAAGTGCTCTTAGGCTGAGAAGCTGCGAAGTCTAACTTATAAGCGAATCAGGTGAGAAGTGCCCTTAGACCGAGGAGGTCACTCCGTTAAAAACGCATGATATATATATATATATATATATATATATATATATATATATATATATATCAATTTTTCATCAAATTCAAATTTCCTTATTGTGACTTTGTAGAATTTTAATGTGGTTTCTGAATATGTAAATTTTATTTTCTAAAAATAATCTTAGTGTTGTCAGCGATCGATTTCCTTTATCGTAAGTCAAACATCGTAACCAAAACATGAACTTCTTTATAAAATGGAGGGAGTATTAAATAGTAGTGAAAAGTACGGAAAAGATACTTATGCTTGGACCCATTTTCAAGTAGGATCATGTGTTTCATTTTTTATCATAGTTGTTCATGTGTTTAAATTCTGTTATCATAGGAGGGTCACTCCGTTAAAAACGCATGAGATAGACGGTTAATAGTAATACCGACTTTCAAAAGTGCCCGACAAATCAAAAGAAAAATACCGGAATGTGCGCCTCGTCAAAATGACCTCCAAACCACCTTCTCATTTGGATTTTTTGGGATATGTTTCGATGGATTTTCCGGTAACATGGGTGGCTGGAAACAAAAAAGAAAGATGACCTAGCGGTCATCTTGTTGAGGCGCACCTTCCGGGTCTTTTCTTTTAATTTTCCGAGTACTTTTGAAAATCGAAGTTACTATTAAATGTTTTTCTGAGGCGTTCTTAACGGTGTCACCCTCTCATGATAACGGAATTCAAACACATGATCCATTTTGATAAAAATTGAAACACGTGACCCTATCTGAAAATGGACCCAACCACAAGTACTTTTTCCGCACTTTCCCCTAAATAGTAATACCGTTTAAGATTTTGGTGAACCTAGACATCCTAGGCGGCTGATTAAGCGATATGAGCGGGCAATTATGAGCCTTAGGCGGTCGACTGATTCAGCTAGGCTTTTCAGTTGGGGTGCTTAGATTAAAATAGGGGCGCCCAACCACCGCCTAACGCCTAAGCGGTGACTAGTCGAGATCAGACCTAGAGCGGTTTTTAGAACATTGCATTTTATACATAATAATTTGATTATATATATTAGTAGAAAATTGTGGTCAAAGTGATGTGTGTGAATAATATAAAAAACATAATGTTGCAACTATTAAGAAACGACGGAAGTATATGACAATCTAA